GTCTCACTCTCTTCCATGGGATCAGAGTAAGTTCCACACAATGTGCCCACTCTCTTCCATGGGATCAGGGTAAGCTCCACACAATGTGTCTGTCTCACTTTCTTCCATGGGATCAGGGAAAGTTCCACACAATGTGTCTCACTTTCTTCAGTGGGATCAGGGTAAGTTCCTCACAATGTGTCTGTCTCACTTTCTTCCATGTGATCAGGGTAAGTTCCACACAATGTTTCTCACTCTCTTCCATGGGATCAGGGCAAGGTCCACATAATGTGTCTCACTTTCTTCCATGAGATCAGGGTAAGTTCCACACAATGTGTCTGTCTCACTGTCTGCCATGGGATCAGGGTAAGTTCCACCCAATGTGTCCCACTCTCTTCCATGGGATCAGGGCAAGGTCCACATAATGTGTCTCACTTTCTTCCATGAGATCAGGGTAAGTTCCACACAATTTGTCTCAATCTCTTCCATGGGATCAGGGCAAGGTCCACATAATGTGTCTCACTTTCTTCCATGAGATCAGGGTAAGTTCCACACAATTTGTCTCAATCTCTTCCATGGGATCAGGGCAAGGTCCACATAATGTGTCTCACTTTCTTCCATGGTATCAGGGTAAGTTCCACACAATTTTGGTTTGGCGTTTTATCCCTGGTGATATTTTTTAGTACACATAGTGATTTAAACGGGTATGAGGGTAAGTTCCACACAATGTGTCTGTCTCACTCTCTTCTATGGGATCAGTGTAAGTTCCACACAATGTGTCTGTCTCACTCCTTCTATGGGATCAGGGTAAGTCCCACACAATGTGTCTCACTTTCTTCCAAGGGATCAGGGTAAGTTCCACACAATTTGTCTCAATCTCTTCCATGGGATCACGGTTAGTTCCACACAATGTGTCTCACTATCTTCCATGGGATCAGGGTAAGTTTCACACAATGTTTCTCACTCTCTTCCATGGGATCAGATTAAGTTCCACACAATGTGCCCACTCTCTTCCAACAATGTGTCTCACTCTCTTCTATGGGATCAGTGTAAGTTCCACACAATGTGTCTCCCTCTCTTCCATGGGATCAGGGTAATTTCCACACAATTTTGGTTTGGCGTTTTATCCCTGGTGATATTTTTTAGTACACATAGTGATTTAAACGGGTATGAGGGTAAGTTCCACACAATGTGTCTCAATCTCTTCCATGGGATCAGGGTTAGTTCCACACAATGTGTCTCACTCGCTTCTATTGTGTCTCAATCTCTTCCATGGGATCAGGGCAAGGTCCACATAATGTGTCTCACTTTCTTCCATGGTATCAGGGTAAGTTCCACACAATTTGTCTCAATCTCTTCCATGGGATCACGGTTAGTTCCACACAATGTGTCTCACTATCTTCCATGGGATCAGGGTAAGTTCCCCACAATGTGTCTCACTCTCTTTTATGGGATCAGGGTAAGTTTCACACAATGTGTCTCACTTTCTTCCATGGGATCAGAGTAAGTTCCACACAATGTATCTCACTCTCTTCTATGGGATCAGGGTAAGTTCCACACAATGTTTCTCACTCTCTTCCATGGGATCACTCTCTTCTATGGGATCAGAGTAAGTTCCACACAATGTATCTCACTCTCTTCTATGGGATCAGATTAAGTTCCACACAATGTGTCTCACCCTCTTCCGTCGGATAAGGGTACGTTCCACACAATGTGTCTCACTTTCTTCCAAGGGATCAGGTCTTCCATGGGATCAGGGTAAGTTTCACACAATGTTTCTCACTCTCTTCCATGGGATCACTCTCTTCTATGGGATCAGAGTAAGTTCCACACAATGTGTCTCCCTTTCTTCCATGGGATCAGGGTAAGTTTCACACAATGTTTCTCACTCTCTTCCATGGGATCACTCTCTTCTATGGGATCAGATTAAGTTCCACACAATGTGTCTCAATCTCTTCCATGGGATCACGGTTAGTTCCACACAATGTGTCTCACTCGCTTCTATTGTGTCTCAATCTCTTCCATGGGATCACGGTTAGTTCCACACAATGTGTCTCACTATCTTCCATGGGATCAGGGTAAGTTTCACACAATGTTTCTCACTCTCTTCCATGGGATCACTCTCTTCTATGGGATCAGAGTAAGTTCCACACAATGTATCTCACTCTCTTCTATGGGATCAGATTAAGTTCCACACAATGTGCCCACTCTCTTCCAACAATGTGTCTCACTCTCTTCTACGGGATCAGGGTAAGTTTCACACAATGTTTCTCACTCTCTTCCATGGGATCACTCTCTTCTATGGGATCAGAGTAAGTTCCACACAATGTATCTCACTCTCTTCTATGGGATCAGAGTAAGTTCCACACAATGTATCTCACTCTCTTCTATGGGATCAGTGTAAGTTCCACACAATGTGTCTGTCTCACTGTCTGCCATGGGATCAGGGTAAGTTCCACCCAATGTGTCCCACTCTCTTCCATGGGATCAGGGTAAGGTCCACTCAATGTGTCTCACTTTCTTCCAGGGGATCAGGGTAAGTTCCACACAATTTTGGTTTGGCGTTTTATCCCTGGTGATATTTTTTAGTACACATAGAGAATTAAACGTTTGCATGCATTTGAACATGAGATTTACAACCTTATGCACTCACTCTCTTCCATGGTATGAGGGTAAGTTCCACACAATGTGTCTCAATCTCTTCCATGGGATCACGGTTAGTTCCACACAATGTGTCTCACTATCTTCCATGGGATCAGGGTAAGTTTCACACAATGTGTCTCACTCTCTTTTATGGGATCAGGGTAAGTTTCACACAATGTGTCTCACTTTCTTCTGTGGGATCAGGGTAAGTTCCACACAATGTGTCTCCCTTTCTTCCATGGGATCAGGGTAAGGTCTACATAATGTGTCTCACTTTCTTCCATGGTATCAGGGTAAGTTCCACACAATTTGTCTCAATCTCTTCCATGGGATCAGGGTTAGTTCCACACAATGTGTCTCACTCGCTTCTATTGTGTCTCAATCTCTTCCATGGGATCAGGGTTAGTTCCACACAATGTGTCTCACTATCTTCCATGGGATCAGGGTAAGTTCCCCACAATGTGTCTCACCCTCTTCCGTCGGATAAGGGTACGTTCCACACAATGTGTCTCACTTTTTCCATGGGATCAGGGTAAGTTCCCCACAATGTGTCTCACCCTCTTCCGTCGGATAAGGGTAAGTTCCACACAATGTGTCTCCAGTTCTTCAGTGGGGTCAGGGTAAGTTCCACACAATGTGGCTGTCTCACTCTCTTCTATGGGATCAGTGTAAGTTCCACACAATGTGTCTGTCTCACTTTCTTCCCTGGGATCAGGGTAAGTTCCACACAATGTTTCTCACTCTCTTCCATGGGATCAGGGTAAGGTCTACATAATGTGTCTCACTTTCTTCCATGGGATCAGTGTAAGTTCCACACAATGTGTCTCACTCTTTCCATGGGATCAGGGTAAGGTCCACACAATGTGTCTCACTCTCTTTTATGGGATCAGGGTAAGTTTCACACAATGTTTCTCACTCTCTTCCATGGGATCACTCTCTTCTATGGGATCAGATTAAGTTCCACACAATGTGCCCACTCTCTTCCAACAATGTGTCTCACTCTCTTCTATGATGTGTCTCACTCTCTTCCATGGGATCAGGGTAAGTTCCACACAATTTTGGTTTGGCGTTTTATCCCTGGTGATATTTTTTAGTACACATAGTGATTTAAACGTTTGCATGTATTTGAACATGAGATTTACAACCTTATGCAGAGGGAGATACTATATATTTGTTGAGTAACGCGAGATCTAAGTGTCAGAGCTGTGTGTTTAATTCTGAGTGGACTTTGTGTTTATGTTGCATGATGTCATGGATGGATCAGTAAAATCATGTGCACTTGATATCTTTTGTTTGATTTATCCCTGCTGTAGTCAACTTCCATCCAGGATTTATTTGATATTAAGATGACATTAATGTTTTTAAGGGTGAGGATTCTCGTGAAGGTGATAGTCCATCCTGGTTCAATCCAGCAGAAACTGTTCTGGTGGTCAGGTACCTACAGGGACTCATGAGAGACGAGAAACATCAAGTGGCTGCTGAAGATGTGGGAGTGATCACTCCCTACAGAAAACAGGTAAAGACATGTTTAATATGTAGGAAGTATTCAGCGAACTTCATGTAGTATCTCGATGGTATCTTTCTCTCCTCTACATGTCTTGCTGGGTTCCTTTAGGTTAGGGTTCGTCTTGGGTTTTAACATGTAGTATCTCGATGGTATCTTTCTCTCCTCTACATGTCTTGCTGGGTTCCTTTAGGTTAGGGTTCGTCTTGGGTTTTAATATGCTGGTATCATGCTGTTGATCTTAATCATATTTTTATCCACCGCTTTCACCAAAACGGGGGATATTAATTTGAGTCTGTCCGTCTGTCTGTCTGTCACGCTTCGTTTCCGTGCAATAACTACAACAAATATTAACCGATTTTCTTCAAACTTGATCACAGGGTTAAATGCCTTAAAAGGGCTAGGCCAAGTTCGATGACCACTTTCAGCAGACCCCATTTGGCGGAGTTATGGCCCCTTGAATAATGAAAAACGTCATTATCTGCCGCCCTTCATTTCCGTACAATAACTACAACAAATGTTAACCGATTTTCTTCAAATTTCGTCACAGTTAAATGCCTTAAGGGCTCGGCCAAGTTTGCTGACCACTTTCAGCGGACCCCATTTGACGGAGGTTTGGCCACTTGAGTAACGAAAAACGTAATTATCTGCTAGGTTTTGTTTCTGTGCAATAACTATAACAATTAAATGTTAACCGATTTTCTTCAAACTTTGTTTCATTTTGATGAAAATTGGTATATATAGGGATATTAGGGGACTGTGAATTAAACCGCATCAATTTCGTTGCCATAGCTACCACACGGAGGCTTCTGATTGGTCGGAATTAAAATATTGTTCGATTTTGATGAAAATTGGTATCTGGGGGTATAAGGGTACTGCAAATTCAACAGCATAGGTTTCATTGCCATAGCAACCAAATGGAGGCGCTTCTGATTGGTCGAAATTTTAATATTTTTTTATATTTATGAAAAATGGTATATAGGGGTATAAGGGGACTGCGAATGAAATCACATAAGTTTCGTTACCATAGCAACCACACGGAGGCTTCTGAGTGGTTGCAATTTAGAAATTGCTCAATTTCACTCAAATTTAGTATGTACATTGTAGGTGTACTATGGCAATGCGTTCCTTTTCTGATGCATCTTTGCGACTATAGGGGCAGTTTGTGGGACATCTGTAATGGTCCCCCATTACAATTAGTACTTGTTGGTGTAGATATTGTTAAGATGTTTCAACCAAATTCCTTATACACATCCAACTCATACTAAGTTTGCCAATCGATGTGATTTGTGCATATTTACGGATAATCAATGAGGTATAGGGCTTTTTTTTTCTTCAAGTTTCAAGCTATACATTATGTCTCAACCGCACGATACTCACATGTTTAAACCTAACCTCAATAATGTTTACCTACAAATGTCCTGCAAGCGGGGGATATAAATTCCACGAATTTGCTTGTTTATCTTAGTTTTGTGTCAAGAAGCTGGTTGCGTCTCACTGGGATCTTGTCATGTTTTGAGAAGCTGGTTGTATTTTGCCATGTCATGTTAAGAAGCTGGTGGCATTGTGTATACTGAGAACAGCTCAAAATTTCTTCTTTTTTACACTCCATAATGAATGTGATGATAGATTTTAATATACACAGCTAGCTATACATGTATTTCTACGGTGAAGGATGAAATAAACACTTGACAGATATGACTTACTGGAAGGGTACATATTTCACTGGCTCCACTTTCTTGTTATGAACATGTAGCATGACCATTGTGCTTTATGTCTTGCCAAAAATAAGATGACCAACGCTCGATGTCTTTTTGTGGTGTTTGGGTTCTTTTGCAATAGATGACGAATACCATATATCTTTGATTTAGTGGGTATTTATTTCCCTGTAACAATATTAAAACACACATGAGACAATATACAGAAACGAACTCGCCTAACAATACATTTACATATGGACAATTCACGTTTTAACGTACGATACTTTAAAAGACGTAAGGTTTATAAAACAATTATTTAAAGTAGCCTAGAAAACTATATATGAATATGGTTCACATAATACTTATAATACCAGTAAACTACTAGTAAACTATACCGAAGTATAAAATCAGTGTTCAATAAGGAAAGTGTTCACTTAGTCAATAACCACACCCATAATTATATATGAGCAATCTACGTCACGTTATAGCATTCCCAATAAATATAAATTATGGAGCATTAATATTTATCAGCATAAATATTAAGTTTAGCAATAGCTTATATATTGTATTTGACCAATAGCTTACCCTGTATGTGGTACCGGGGATCCACTAGTATAATCTGCCAGGTATGTATATTTCGTAAGTATGTATATATGGCGATGTTGCCTCTACCAGGAGCAGATAGGAAGTGAATGGAAAAGAAAGGACAGAGAAGCAAATAAAACATTGAAGCGGGGAAATATCACGCAATGCGACAGGTGTCAGAGGTCAGTTTGTCACTGGTCAAACAGGTATACAACATTCACAATTACGTCACACTCTCATACATTCCATTCAAAACGAAAGTAACACACGAGACTAGGCGACAGTGATTGCGGATGCGGAGCGCGGATTACGGATTAAAATCAACGACACATTGTTATACAAAGTAATCCTAATAAGACTCAAAAATCTAACCGGGTGCCACATTTTTCTTTCTGTTTTGGCCAAGTTGCTCTATCCCTATGATACATTGTTCATTCTGCTCAATCAGCCGACCATTGCTTGGAATGCTAAGAACTCAAGGTCTGCTTTATCCACAAAGAAGACAAAATGTTTTCATTCAAAAAGACCTGTGAATAGTTCTATGCATAATACATGTACCAGGATTTGCAGACAGATATATTTAATGGATGAAGATGCAAGAAGCTTTCTCCATTTTGCATTTTGTTTTTTTGACATCTCTGTTTTTGTTTATTTTTAGATCACCTTAGACAAAGAGTCTCGGGTGACCTATTGTGATCGCCTTTTGTCCGGCGGCATCCGTCTGGAGTCCGTAAACAATTTACATTTTTCGTCTTCTTCTCCAAAACCCCCGAACCAATTTCAATGAAATTTTAAAGAAACCTTCCATGGCCAAATGTCAACAAAAACAGTGGCTGGTTTGGTCCCCAGCCCCCAAGGGCCTGAGGGGCAGGGCCAAAAAGGGTCAAATTGACTAAAATTTCAAAAATCTTCTTCTCAAAACCCAGATATGATAGAATCAAATACTCTTCATAGATGGAAGGGTCTTAAGGTGCTTTACTTAATTCAATTTGGGTTAGCATTATCAGTATCAGTGCCCCCTGTGGAAGGAGGGGGGGGGGGGGGGGAAATTTATTATGGTTTATAATGGCAAATGATATTTTGAATATTACATGTTAATAACTTGATTGGAATTATAACCTTGAATTGACAGTTTGATACTTTGAAAATTTTGAGCCAGCCCTACCCCCAAGGGCTGTAGGGTGGGGCCCAAAGGAGTCAGTGTGCTAAAATTTCTTCATTTTCCTTGTTTAGAATCAGAGGTGCTAGTTTCAAATACTTTTCAGTCTTAAATCTGTATGCTAGATATTGAATAAGGTGGTTTTATTGTTTTTTGTCACTTTGAATAATATTTCTGTTCATGTTAAAAACAAAATCAACTCTCTGTATAAATATATCAGGTGACCGTTAAGGCCCATGGGCCTCTTGTTTATATTGCCGTACAATTGGGTTCTGATTTTGTCCTAGTTTGTATGCAATATGGTTGATTTTTTTTCTGTATTACTTAAATACCTAGTTGTGTAGATTTAATATTGACGATTAAGTAAATGATAAATTCTGCACAAAACATTTTTTTTTAAATTAGATCGATTTTATTTGTTTCTTAGGTGGAGAAGATTCGGCTGCTGATTGATAAACTTGGGATGGACATGGTTAAGGTTGGGTCAGTGGAGGAATTCCAAGGTCAGGAGAAACCGGTCATCATCATATCTACGGTCAGTAATTTAGATGCTCAAGCCACATGTGATTTACCGGGTAGTGGACTGCCACTAGATAAATTTCTTTGTTTCAATAACAGGTGAAATCATATAATCAGCTTTATGAACATCTTTATACATAATCGTCAGGTTAGTGATGGTTTTTAATACATTTCCCTCAAGGTTAGGAAATATTGCATAACTGTTGTATATAATAATATGGAGGACATGCATTCAATGATTCATTCACATTACATCATCTCACACACGCATGCATACACACATAGGGAGATATTAGCCAGGTGGCATAGGACTAGAAGTTAGTGCCTGATAAGGCAGCTCCTGCAAATTCCTCAAAATTGTATTGATTAATGTATATTCTACATATATACATGTAATTGTATTAATTGTATATCCTTACTAAGAGCTTTAGAGTGGCTTATGTTAGCTAGATAGGGTGCTACATCAAATGTTATATGTTATCATTATTTTAATGATGTCAAGCTTTCTTAAAAACTTTTTTTTTTAAATTCCTTATGAAAATGAAATTACAGATGTATCTGACTTTTTGAAAAATAACCTAGGAAAGGATATTTGTATTAGGATATGTATATTTGTGCTAGTACCAAATAATTGATTTCCTCTGCATTACATAGGTGCGATCCACTGAACGTCTGATAGGATTTGACATGAAGCATTCCCTGGGTTTCTTGAGCAATCCTAAAAGGTTCAATGTAGCCATCTCACGAGCCCAATGTCTCCTCATCATCATTGGCAACCCGTTCGTTTTGTCACAGGTACGCCTATATACACCTAGTATTCAAACTTAACGGTAAACTCATAGAAAATCATCATGGAAAAGACTGAAGGTCTATGAAAATGATTTTCATCATGAAGTTATGTCCTATGATGTTTTTGATTCAATGAGGAAAATATGTTTCTGTCAAGTTCTTTATTACCTGATATTACGCTTAAGTATGTATAAAATGTTCATGGTTAAGGTCTGGGCCCAGTTGTCCAAAAGGTGATTAGCGTAATCAGTGAATAGCATAAATTTCATAATCCATGCTTGAGCTTGAGAATGGGATCATGAATGAGGGCACTAGTCTATGAACATTTCAGTAGTTCTATAAAGAATCTATATCAAAATAGACCTATTTTCTATAGTGTGTAAATTTTGAATTCTGTCCAGTAAACCTATATATCATCCATACCATTGCTGATTGAGAGTAGTTTTCAGTTTTTAATTAATTTATACATTCAGTACATTTGCTTGTTGAATTCATGAATTCACATTACCACAGAAAGCATGAAAATAAAACTCTCAAAACTAACAGCAACAAAAGTTACACTGTACACAGTATCTTGGAATTAAACTGATTGTTATATATTTACAGGATAAGTACTGGCAGACTTTGATACATTACTGTATAGAAAACCACGCCTACACAGGATGTGACCTTCCCGATCTCTCACAACTGGAGGAGGTAAAAGGTCAAGGACGTAAAGATTGCCCTGAAGAAGTCCAGGACACATTAGAGGGAGACGTGAGCTGAAGTAGTGCAAAACTTATTTCTTGAGTTGGAGCGAATTCACAATCATCATAGACCAACATTTCTTATTTCAAGACAAGGTGGTTGAATGTTACAGCAGATACTTGAACACAGTCATGTTGAAAGGGAAATTTGAAGATAACATTCTGTCTGAAAAGTACATCAGTTATTGATAATTACAAATCAAAATGTAAATTTATTTTTATATATCACAATGATTAACAGAATTGAGTGTTGATTTCAGGATATCCATTTTTTTTTATCAGATTCATGAAAATAATTGTATGTTGTCTTTGAATGAAAGTGTTTCTGCTGTATGTATGATCTATTGTGGGAATCATGTTAGCATGGTTAAAGTTTGACATGTTGGTCGGGGCATCTTCTGTCCCAATGCTTTGACATACCAAAGTCCTTAAAATAGTAGCTGTTATTCCCTGCTCAACGTTCAGCATTAAGGGGTTATGGCAACAACTGGTTCACACGTTGTCAGTATGGGTATTTACGGCATGGTATTTCAGTGTAGACTAGTAAGTATATTTACATGTTAGTGTTTCGAAATACAATTCAAATGATACAATTTGATACTTTTTAATGGCAAAAAAATGCAAAGCACAAAGCCCACTTAAGATCCTTACCACATATTATTTTTTTTTATTTTTTTATTTTTTATTTTTTCAAATTTTTACATTAGTATACAATACAGTTACAATATATATACATAACATGACATAACACAAACATATATAAAGACATACACACACTCATTCATTATCATACAAACATCCATACAATTATCAAAAAGGAAAGGTAGGATTGTTGAAAATTTGTATTACATTTTGAATTTCTAAGCTAGCTGTCAGTGTGAGCGTAATCAATATTTACATTTACTCAATACAACAAATATATTTATAAATTGATAAGTTACTTATGGTAAATCAGTCGTAATTTCAAGTTTGGGTGTTTCAAAAAAAGTTTTGCCATTTGGCCCATTCTCTTTGAAACTGGTCTAAGTAGCTTTCTCCCTTACTTCTAGCAATGTATTTTTGAGTTGTATATGTATCTTTTAGTGTATTTTTCAGGAGGGCAATAATGCAGAGTTCGTTCCTGAGGCACCTTGCTTTGTAGATATATTGTTTATAAATTTGATATACTATTGTGTGAATACAACAAAAACACGAGCCATTTTACAGGTACTACAAATATATCAAGGGAAGATGATGTCACAATAGAACATCATGGATACCAACAACTACCTGTTAAATGCAAGTTTTACTGAAAGTTTGGAGAAGAAAACACTTATTTTGTTTTACAATTTACCCATTTTTTTACAATTTACCCACTAAAATATTTTTTTACAATTTACCCACTAAACTAGTTTTTTACAATTTACCCACACAAATAGATTTTAATTGTAAGTAAAATATTAGAATGAGATTTGTAGTACTTTTATAATGTCAGCCATTTTTTAAAAAGAAACAACCATTTTCATATGCAGTACACTGCAGAGCTGTACTTTTTTAGGATACTTCTGGCATTATTTTCAGAATGAAACGATTCAAATAATGTAAAGAGAGAAAGTTGTATTCATTAAGAGGATGATAATGTGATTTCTAGAGGATGCACGCCAATAAAAGTTGATTGGTTTGGTTAATGCAGAGTGGATGGGTTGTGTGTAGATAAATGGGATATGAATGTGTTACAGTTGTAGAGATGGCGGCATACATCAGAAGTTGATAACTAGATAGAACACACACAAAGAATGAAGAGGATGAATATATGTGTATTTGTTTTCATACATTTGTGCAACCGACTTGCTGTCTAACATCTATTATTGTAAATGCAATCACAAGTGATTGGGCAAGTCTAGACATATTTTTGAGCATATAATTCTGTATACCTGGACATTTTCACTGCAGTTTAACTTCCACCTTTTTTGTGCACCCTGTTATGATGGCAATTGTTTTTTTCATCGTAAACATTTAGTAAACAACATAGTACAGGTAGCAATCAAATGTGAAGGGAACAAGAGGTCCACAGGGCCTGTATCGTCACCTGTTTCTTTTGTTACATGAAACTGACATATAGGTAACTTAAGACCAAATTTTGTAACTAGAACACAAGACATTTTAACATCTCTTAAACGGTTCTTAAAATATTGTTGTTTGAAATTTGAAATTTTAATTTTAAAGCTTTTAACCCATGTTGACCTTTGACCCCCGACTAGCACTTAAAGTTGACCTTTGACATCATTACTGTTAGAAAGAAAGAGCTTCACACTGCTGGTCAACATAACATACCCATGTATCATGACTCTAGTCCAAATGGTTCTAAGGATACTGTTGCTTGAAGTTTTTAACATATTTGACCACTGTGACCTTGAAACTAAGTCAAGGTCATTTTAATGAGGAAAGTTCATAGCATTCAATCCCAGGTACCTACTGGCAAAAGAGCATGATCCTGGGCCTTATGGAACTTGAGAAGAAGGATTGTTAAAGTTTTTACCTACATTAACATTTGACCCCTGACTAGCACTTCAAAGTTGACCTTTGACCTCATTACAGTAATATAGAAAAAAATTGGCATTGCTGGTCTACATAACATATCCAAGTATCATGACTCTAGCCCTTATGGTCCTTTAACTATTGTTGTTTGAATATATTTTTTTAAACATATTTGACCCCTGTGACCTTGAAAGTAAGTCAATGTAATTTTAATGAGGAAACTTTATAGCACCCCCATCCCATCTACCTACTGGTCAAATGTCGTGACGCTAGGTCCTCCAGTTCTTCAGAAGAAGTCATCCAAAAGAACAAATTGACGGATGGAAGACGAACGCCGCAGTACGCATACGCCCAAATTGCCCTTCGGGCTAGGTGAGCTAAAAATTAATGCTGCACGAAAATGGATTTTACTAGCATTGGGCAAAATATTTCCCAGTATACAGTAATTATGTGTAATTCAACAATATCTAAAAGATCTGCCAAATGACTTTACACAATTTAAAGGTTTTCTTGGTGACTGTATCTCCAACAATATAACATGGATCCCACACTTAATGTCACTTTATGTTGTTTTAAATGTATTTTAATTTGAACAGAAACAGGGCGTTAATATGTGTAAGCTTTTCATTTTTTCCTCATAAAGATAAGATTTATTGCATAAATTAGAAATTACAGAGAATAAAACTTGAATCACTTAGACTTTTTTCCCCAATTCATACACAACATGAATAGGCAAAGATTTCAAAGTGATCATTGATGATTTCAAGAGTTCATTTAAGTCCCTTTTAGAATAAAATAATAGCATCCACAAAATCATATTACATGGGGAAGAAAATACCAACAGCATGAAATTCAAACATACAGTGTGTAGGATAACAACTTTAACTCTTGCGACAGGAAAGGGTTGCTTCCTGAAGCTGAGCGGTATTTTTGCAGGCCGGGGCAATTCCTTTTTGCGATGCCGGCGAGCTTGTGCCCTTGCATTGTAGAGGGTGTTATTCCCATTGAACATACAGGAGATGGTGCTTTGCTATCAGAACAGGATTCCTTTTTGAAGAGAATGAATGTTACATTTTCAACTGGGAGCAATTTATTTCCTTGCATTTGGGAGGGCAGGTGACGACGAGACGATCGTTTCCTTTTGACGAAGAGTAATGCTCTTTTCCAATCAACGGGCATGCATATTGCATGGCGACTTGGTGCAGGTCCATCTGTTCTATTTCGTTGGAGAGGCAGTTAACCTTGTTCGCTTGCGACGGGAATTGTATCGTTCCTTGTGATCAACGACGATGTTGACCTTTGTAAGTTGATGTAGTGGAAAGGTTAACGAAATTGTACCCTACGTAATCCCAATTGTCTGAAAAAATGAATTGTCTCAGCAGTTTCAGTTTTAAATCAAACGCTAAACTCACCAATAGTCGTCAGACTACTCACGTCACATTCGCATTTGGCGTGGACACTGTTAAGACACACGTTATAGTTTGGAAGACTTTTCTGGTCATGATGTTTCCTCCCAGAATCTGACCATACAGAACAATTACTAAGTTCATCAATGTTTTCATCGAACCTATATATGTTCTCGTACAGTTGCGTATTTACACCTATGCTTATACGAGACAGCGAGGAACCTTTACCAGAGTCTACATTCAAACTCTGCAATCTTTGTTTTGAGGTTTTACCCCTTTCTGTCGACATTTCTGCCTGTTTCACAGAACTTACAAGATCTTTGAGTTCGTTGAATTTGTCTGTATCATGCAGTTGCATCATCATTTCTGAACATTGTTTTGAAACCTCTGACATGGTATGATCTGCAGAATGAATTTTTAATAGTAGGCTTTCAAATTCGGCAAACAAATGAAAGTCAGGCGCTGACAAATGGTTTATTATAGAGTGAGTTTTCGACGAACTGCTGAAGTGTAAGGTTACTATTTTGCACACTGTTTGGGATGAAGGTTGAAGTAGTTCTAGCAATGCCTCTACCAAATCAGTTCTTGGAGTCATTAATGTTCTGCTTTCCTTATAGCTACATTCTATTTCTTCAAATAACGACAGAAGTCTCTGAGAAAGAAAAACAATCACAACATCAAAGGTTGACAAAATCTGTCCGACGTTTTGGAAACTTCTTGTTTCTTTGCCAAGGACATCGATGCTAATGTTATCAACGTTGCATCTACAATACGTCTTCAGACAGTGACTGAAGCATTCCACCGACTGCCTGTGATTATTGCTATCATATACGGCCAGTATCAGGATTTTTCTTCTACACAACTTCGACTTCAGCAGAAATTCTGAAACGAAAAAGTTAAAACAAATATTCGGCCCACTATTGTGGATTTATCTATCCAACCCTTATACGTACAACCATGGACATTCGTGCTAACTACTGATTGGTTGGTTATTTGAGGCTTCAGCTATAAGGTCATATGACGACAGTGTCCATAGATAACATAGTTACTGCAATATTTAAAGTGGCATTACAATGTTTAAACTTGGCTTGGTAGCACGACACCAGACCAACCCACTTTCGTTTAACAACCGGCTTGCTAACCAGATGGACATTTATCAACACCACTGACACGGAGTAATAGGCAATGCAGAAACAAAATCTACTTGGGTGATGCTGTGTGATACACCAATGGAATATATCCTAGCAAAATCTAACACTCGGTGTGCCCCACTTTGTGGATGAGACAAGACTAGGTTGATCCTTTGATGTACATCAATAGAATCTCGCTAAATTGACTGGCCTTGGTGTCGCCCCTCTGTAATCTTCGACGGACTGGTATCACCCGAGACCAATCAAATAGCTAGTCGAGTGCCTTCATTTTTTCTATGACCTATTCCAGGGGCGCAGAGTGTAAGTGAGCGCAACCCCTTGGGTGTCGAGGATGTATTATATTATTATATTCAACAAATTAACCAAAATGGTAAGTGTTGCGTAAATAAAACACCATTCGTTCAATTAATAAACATTTCACGAGTAAGTTGATATTTGATGTTTTAGGACATACAGTTGCCGATGCAATCGTTTTAACATATGATTGGTATATTATCTAAAATAAACGTTGAAACTGAAGAAATTTAAAATGATTGGTATATATCTCTAATTAACGCTGAACTTAAAAAATCTTTATCAATGACAACTTTCGTTTTCGATACTTACTCCGAATGTGTTGGCGCACATTCACAACCAGGATAAGTCCTATAACGACTAGACATACGCTCAGTGTTCCCAGTAAGGCGACGAGAGGAAACTCGTTACTGTCAGTACGTGTCTTCAAAAGAACGGAATGCGCTGACACCGTCTCGGAATGAGCTGACACCGTATTGGAAGGCGCTGACACCGTCTCGGAATGTGCTGACACCGTCTCGGAATGAGCTGACACCGTCTTGGAAGGCGCTGACACCGTCTCGGAATGTGCTGACACCGTCTCGGAATGAGCTGACACCGTCTTGGAAGGCGCTGACACCGTCTCGGAATGTGCTGACACCGTCTCGGAATGAGCTGACACCGTCTTGGAAGGCGCTGACACCGTCTCGGAATGTGCTGACACCGTCTCGGAATGAGCTGACACCGTCTTGGAAGGCGCTGACACCGTCTCGGAATGTGCTGACACAGTCTTGGAAGGCGCTGACACCGCCTCGGAATGTAAAACATTTTCGGTAACTGCTAAATAGATAAAGGAAAACTGATATGAGTACATGGCGAGCTCGTCTGACTAGTGACATTGACTTCGGGAACAAAGTTTGGGATATTTGTTTTCACTGTTAAACCGCAAATTGTCCCTTACAGTTATTTTGATTTATCCAGCCGTCGAAAGGCACTTGTTTGCTAATTTGCGTTTTACGTCCTTGTAACAGCTTCGATCACATGGAGACGATGTCTACGGTTGATAAGACTATTCAAGGACCACAATAAGGTACAATCTCACTGAAATATCACGATCTGCCATGGTAACATGACTCTCCACTCGGTAACAGCATACTGGCAAATGACTAACCAGTCCTTGCAGACACCCATTTAAGCATCCTCGATACTCCAGGGGTAACACTCACTTACGATCTCTGCACCACTGGAATATATCCTAGCAAATTTGAAGGCACAAAGTCACTAGTCTGATACCTGTCCTTTGAATATTACCGAGGAGCGACGCCCGACTTCAAAGCCAGTCAATTTTACCGTGAAGCGACCGCGAGATTCTTTTGATGTATATCAAAGGATCAAACTAGTTTTCTTGTCTCATCAACAAGGTGGCGAACACTGAGCCTTCGATGTTGCTATGACATGTTCCAGGAGTAATGAGAGCGTGGGTGAGCGTTACTCCTGGATTGTCCAGGATACTCGATAACAGTATACCGACACAGGGCTCACCAGTCCTTACAGGCACCTTTTTAAGCTGATCGTCAAGCAACGGGCAGTGAGTGCCGACTTCAACTACTTTGGTTTGCCATGATCAGTGGACCCGGGTGAACACTCAGCACCAAAGCCATTTGCGAGGTACTGCATGCAATGAATAAGGAAGGGGGAGGATTTAGAAAAAAAATAAAAAAATGCTAGACCACAAATGTTGCAATGGGTACAGCAAATGTTGAAAGCAGTACAAGTATAAGGACAGCATAATTATACTCCTCTTTAATATTCCGCAATCAAAGAATACATAAAATCACCATGATTTTCGAAGTATTAATAATCAGGAATTGATAAAGTTTAAGAAAACGTTGGTGTTTCTTGAAAGAAAATAGCTTGTTTCGGATGCCGAAATGTTCGGATAAGCAAATGCAGCTGTAAACAACAATAATACAATTATATGAAATGGCCACCGGATTGTTAATTAAGCCGATACTAAGCACAAGAAAATAATATCGTTGATAAACTTTAAAATAAGTGTTTTAAGATAAACTTTGAAATATGTGTTTTAAGTAGGTAGGCAATTAGTTTAATGTTTCCGAACAATATCTTATCTGCTTACCATTGCGTGTCATCAAACATGTGGACATTTAAGTTATGGCATTAAAATGATTACGACGACTTATGTGTGCTAGGTCATTGGTAACAGAAGAACACTTTCCTGGATTTGACAGTAGAAATTATAACTTGACATCATTACTGGTGTGATGCAGGACGTGTTTTATTCCGGTTCCGGTACACCAAGTTTTTCTGCAACTTCTTTTAGAAGTTCGTTCACGATTTCTTTTGTTTTGATTTTGTAGCCTATTCGTTAAGAATTTTAGCCATGGATTTGTCCTTCTGTGCATATTTTGATTTTGATTTTGTTCTTATATAAAGCATCCTCGATACTGCAGGGGTTACGCTCACTTTCGCTCTCTGCATCCTTGGAATACGTCGTAGCAAAATCGACGGCTCAGTATGCATCACTTTGTGGATGAGACGTGAAGACTAGTTTGATCCTTTGATGTACATCAAAAAGAATCCTTCGATCTCTTCACGGTAAAATTGACTTGCTTTGAAGTCAAACGTCGATCTCTTCACGGTAAAATTGACTGGCTTTAAAGTCACACGTCGATCGCTTCACGGCAAAATTGACTGGCTTTAAAGTCAGACGTCGATCGCTTCACGGTAAAATTGACTGGCTTTGAAGTCAGACGTCGATCTCTGCACGGCAAAATTGACTGGCTTTGAAGTCAGACGTCGATCGCTTCACGGTAAAATTGACTGGCTTTGAAGTCAGACGTCGATCGCTTCACGGTAAAATTGACTGGCTTTGAAGTCAGACGTCGATCGCTTCACGGTAAAATTGACTGGCTTTGAAGTCAGACGTCGATCGCTTCACGGTAAAATTGACTGGCTTTGAAGTCAGACGTCGATCGCTTCACGGTAAAATTGACTGGCTTTGAAGTCAGACGTCGATCGCTTCACGGTAAAATTGACTGGCTTTGAAGTCAGACGTCGATCGCTTCACGGTAAAATTGACTGGCTTTGAAGTCAGACGTCGATCGCTTCACGGTAAAATTGACTGGCTTTGAAGTCAGACGTCGATCGCTTCACGGTAAAATTGACTGGCTTTGAAGTCAGACGTCGATCGCTTCACGGTAAAATTGACTGGCTTTGAAGTCAGACGTCGATCGCTTCACGGTAAAATTGACTGGCTTTGAAGTCAGACGTCGATCGCTTCACGGTAAAATTGACTGGCTTTGAAGTCAGACGTCGATCGCTTCACGGTAAAATTGACTGGCTTTGAAGTCAGACGTCGATCGCTTCACGGTAAAATTGACTGGCTTTGAAGTCAGACGTCGATCGCTTCACGGTAAAATTGACTGGCTTTGAAGTCAGACGTCGATCGCTTCACGGTAAAATTGACTGGCTTTGAAGTCAGACGTCGATCGCTTCACGGTAAAATTGACTGGCTTTGAAGTCAGACGTCGATCGCTTCACGGTAAAATTGACTGGCTTTGAAGTCAGACGTCGATCGCTTCACGGTAAAATTGACTGGCTTTGAAGTCAGACGTCGATCGCTTCACGGTAAAATTGACTGGCTTTGAAGTCAGACGTCGATCGCTTCACGGTAAAATTGACTGGCTTTGAAGTCAGACGTCGATCGCTTCACGGTAAAATTGACTGGCTTTGAAGTCAGACGTCGATCGCTTCACGGTAAAATTGACTGGCTTTGAAGTCAGACGTCGATCGCTTCACGGTAAAATTGACTGGCTTTGAAGTCAGACGTCGATCGCTTCACGGTAAAATTGACTGGCTTTGAAGTCAGACGTCGATCGCTTCACGGTAAAATTGACTGGCTTTGAAGTCAGACGTCGATCGCTTCACGGTAAAATTGACTGGCTTTGAAGTCAGACGTCGATCGCTTCACGGTAAAATTGACTGGCTTTGAAGTCAGACGTCGATCGCTTCACGGTAAAATTGACTGGCTTTGAAGTCAGACGTCGATCGCTTCACGGTAAAATTGACTGGCTTTGAAGTCAGACGTCGATCGCTTCACGGTAAAATTGACTGGCTTTGAAGTCAGACGTCGATCGCTTCACGGTAAAATTGACTGGCTTTGAAGTCAGACGTCGATCGCTTCACGGTAAAATTGACTGGCTTTGAAGTCAGACGTCGATCGCTTCACGGTAAAATTGACTGGCTTTGAAGTCAGACGTCGATCGCTTCACGGTAAAATTGACTGGCTTTGAAGTCAGACGTCGATCGCTTCACGGTAAAATTGACTGGCTTTGAAGTCAGACGTCGATCGCTTCACGGTAAAATTGACTGGCTTTGAAGTCAGACGTCGATCGCTTCACGGTAAAATTGACTGGCTTTGAAGTCAGACGTCGATCGCTTCACGGTAAAATTGACTGGCTTTGAAGTCAGACGTCGATCGCTTCACGGTAAAATTGACTGGCTTTGAAGTCAGACGTCGATCGCTTCACGGTAAAATTGACTGGCTTTGAAGTCAGACGTCGATCGCTTCACGGTAAAATTGACTGGCTTTGAAGTCAGACGTCGATCGCTTCACGGTAAAATTGACTGGCTTTGAAGTCAGACGTCGATCGCTTCACGGTAAAATTGACTGGCTTTGAAGTCAGACGTCGATCGCTTCACGGTAAAATTGACTGGCTTTGAAGTCAGACGTCGATCGCTTCACGGTAAAATTGACTGGCTTTGAAGTCAGACGTCGATCGCTTCACGGTAAAATTGACTGGCTTTGAAGTCAGACGTCGATCGCTTCACGGTAAAATTGACTGGCTTTGAAGTCAGACGTCGATCGCTTCACGGTAAAATTGACTGGCTTTGAAGTCAGACGTCGATCGCTTCACGGTAAAATTGACTGGCTTTGAAGTCAGACGTCGATCGCTTCACGGTAAAATTGACTGGCTTTGAAGTCAGACGTCGATCGCTTCACGGTAAAATTGACTGGCTTTGAAGTCAGACGTCGATCGCTTCACGGTAAAATTGACTGGCTTTGAAGTCAGACGTCGATCGCTTCACGGTAAAATTGACTGGCTTTGAAGTCAGACGTCGATCGCTTCACGGTAAAATTGACTGGCTTTGAAGTCAGACGTCGATCGCTTCACGGTAAAATTGACTGGCTTTGAAGTCAGACGTCGATCGCTTCACGGTAAAATTGACTGGCTTTGAAGTCAGACGTCGATCGCTTCACGGTAAAATTGACTGGCTTTGAAGTCAGACGTCGATCGCTTCACGGTAAAATTGACTGGCTTTGAAGTCAGACGTCGATCGCTTCACGGTAAAATTGACTGGCTTTGAAGTCAGACGTCGATCGCTTCACGGTAAAATTGACTGGCTTTGAAGTCAGACGTCGATCGCTTCACGGTAAAATTGACTGGCTTTGAAGTCAGACGTCGATCGCTTCACGGTAAAATTGACTGGCTTTGAAGTCAGACGTCGATCGCTTCACGGTAAAATTGACTGGCTTTGAAGTCAGACGTCGATCGCTTCACGGTAAAATTGACTGGCTTTGAAGTCAGACGTCGATCGCTTCACGGTAAAATTGACTGGCTTTGAAGTCAGACGTCGATCGCTTCACGGTAAAATTGACTGGCTTTGAAGTCAGACGTCGATCGCTTCACGGTAAAATTGACTGGCTTTGAAGTCAGACGTCGATCGCTTCACGGTAAAATTGACTGGCTTTGAAGTCAGACGTCGATCGCTTCACGGTAAAATTGACTGGCTTTGAAGTCAGACGTCGATCGCTTCACGGTAAAATTGACTGGCTTTGAAGTCAGACGTCGATCGCTTCACGGTAAAATTGACTGGCTTTGAAGTCAGACGTCGATCGCTTCACGGTAAAATTGACTGGCTTTGAAGTCAGACGTCGATCGCTTCACGGTAAAATTGACTGGCTTTGAAGTCAGACGTCGATCGCTTCACGGTAAAATTGACTGGCTTTGAAGTCAGACGTCGATCGCTTCACGGTAAAATTGACTGGCTTTGAAGTCAGACGTCGATCGCTTCACGGTAAAATTGACTGGCTTTGAAGTCAGACGTCGATCGCTTCACGGTAAAATTGACTGGCTTTGAAGTCAGACGTCGATCGCTTCACGGTAAAATTGACTGGCTTTGAAGTCAGACGTCGATCGCTTCACGGTAAAATTGACTGGCTTTGAAGTCAGACGTCGATCGCTTCACGGTAAAATTGACTGGCTTTGAAGTCAGACGTCGATCGCTTCACGGTAAAATTGACTGGCTTTGAAGTCAGACGTCGATCGCTTCACGGTAAAATTGACTGGCTTTGAAGTCAGACGTCGATCGCTTCACGGTAAAATTGACTGGCTTTGAAGTCAGACGTCGATCGCTTCACGGTAAAATTGACTGGCTTTGAAGTCAGACGTCGATCGCTTCACGGTAAAATTGACTGGCTTTGAAGTCAGACGTCGATCGCTTCACGGTAAAATTGACTGGCTTTGAAGTCAGACGTCGATCGCTTCACGGTAAAATTGACTGGCTTTGAAGTCAGACGTCGATCGCTTCACGGTAAAATTGACTGGCTTTGAAGTCAGACGTCGATCGCTTCACGGTAAAATTGACTGGCTTTGAAGTCAGACGTCGATCGCTTCACGGTAAAATTGACTGGCTTTGAAGTCAGACGTCGATCGCTTCACGGTAAAATTGACTGGCTTTGAAGTCAGACGTCGATCGCTTCACGGTAAAATTGACTGGCTTTGAAGTCAGACGTCGATCGCTTCACGGTAAAATTGACTGGCTTTGAAGTCAGACGTCGATCGCTTCACGGTAAAATTGACTGGCTTTGAAGTCAGACGTCGATCGCTTCACGGTAAAATTGACTGGCTTTGAAGTCAGACGTCGATCGCTTCACGGTAAAATTGACTGGCTTTGAAGTCAGACGTCGATCTCTGCACGGCAAAATTGACTGGCTTTGAAGTCAGACGTCGATCTCTTCACGGCAAAATTGACTGGCTCTGAAGTCAGACGTCGATCGCTTCACGGTAAAATTGACTGGCTTTGAAGTCAGACGTCGATCGCTTCACGGTAAAATTGACTGGCTTTGAAGTCAGACGTCGATCTCTGCACGGCAAAATTGACTGGCTTTGAAGTCAGACGTCGATCTCTTCACAGCAAAATTGACTGGCTCTGAAGTCAGACGTCGATCGCTTCACGGTAACATTGACTGGCTTTGAAGTCAGACGTCGATCGCTTCACGGTAAAATTGACTGGCTTTGAAGTCAGACCTCGATCTGTTCACGGTAAAATTGACTGGCTTTGAAGTCAGACGTCGATCTCATTACGGTAAAATTGACTGGCTTTGAAGTTAGACGTCGATCGCTTCACGGAAACATTGACTGACTTTGAAGTCAGACGTCGCTCCTTTGTAATTTTCAAAGGACAGGTAACAGTTAGCGATTGGTTAGGTGTTTTGTTTTACCGGAGACCAATCAAATAGCTAGTCGTGTGTCTTTAATTTTGCTATATATCATCTTTATTTCCTCCAAATTGGAGAGCATGATACAATGATGAATTGAACATGAATAATACATTATTTATAAAATGACAACAATCGTGACATTCAGACAAGTTCACAAACGTATATACATATTGTTAAATATCAGTGATATAATACTGGTTTATGTAGCATGTAAAAAAATATTTTTTACATTTTCCTTTTATTAAAAAGTATTTGAAAGACATTATTATAATAATTATTATTATGTATAGAAGTCAAACATTCTTTTTATCGCATATACGGATTCTAGTCTAAATTCTTCAAAATCAATGTCATTTAAATGATAGGTCATTGGGCCTCCTAGTAAAATATGAATTAATGAATAGTCAGGCAGTGAATGCAGATATGAACTGAGTTAAATACTTGAAATGCAGGCAATTATACACCATAAATTGTCACGAAGATTTTCTGTTGAATGCAAAATCACACGAGATACAAAATCTGTGTAGAAATAGCCACAATGATAACATAAAAGTTGTTTGTTACGTACACGTATAGATACAATCAATTTCATTATATATCCGATATTGTCGTCTAAAATACAGTGCAAGGCTAGATCTGTGGAATTTGACTAAATGAGTACTATGATCAATTTATTGCAGTTGAGTTATCCGTTTCGGGGTAAAATGTACATACAGGACCTATGCATTCAGACTGAACATTGAACGAAATCATGTTAGTTCTATCTGGAAATTGTTGGAATGACCGAGAACGATTGTTTTCTGTAAACTGATAACGGTTGCCTCGTATTTTAACGTAAAGGTCACCTAATACACTTTACCTTTCTCCGAGTTCACATCATATAAAGATTCTAAAATGTCAATATGTTCTTGAAAGACCCCAATAGGTCGTGAGTAAGCAGGCATATATACTGAAAACCAATATGTATATTCTCCAATAGGTGACTGTAATTCAAGCCCAACAATTCTAGGACTGTCTAGAATGATTTCTTGTACATTAATATGTGACTTATATAACAAACACACACCACCTCTTCTACTACATTTGTAGCGGTAGGGGTCTACTTCATGAACAGGATGAAGAAAACTATTGAAAAACGACGATTGGTATTCTCTCGCTCAATGTTCTGACAATTCACATATATATCTATATCGTAAGTATATATTGAGACAGTTAAGGAGATAAGGCATCCCGGCCAGTATCCCTTCATAATTCCAGCACATGGCATTGACTATGTCACATTTGGTCATTATGCTCATATCAAAACATCGAGTATACATGTATACCCGGAGGGTAAAAGTCAGGATTTTCAAGTGTACCGTTTCTCGAAGTAACGAAGGAATGTTATTTTAACACCGTTGTCTTCTAAGAAGTCTCTCATAGCGCTTTCCGATGCTGCGTATTTATTTATTCCATGTATATAGTACCTTTTTACACGTTTTTGTTTTACAGGCTTAAAACCGACAAATCTGTCGCTCAGTTTTTGTTCCGACTTCTGAGTAGGGTGACCAGAGACGTATAAAGCCATATACGTCTCTGGGGTGACACACTGATGAGGGACAGTAAACCTTCTTTAGCTTCCAGTTTTATCTGACGTATGGTTAACCTCAGTACTGTGCGATCGGATTCCGACTGAGTTGGTGAGCGGGTTGAGCGACTTTTGTTACGTATTTCACATATTTCAGGGGTGCAGATCGAGAGAGCGAAAGTGGGCGTAACTCCTGGAGTATCGTGGGTGCATGGCTTTGATATATGAGCAGATCGCTCTGAAAAATCGACAAAACTGTGTACAGCATTCAAATCAAAACCAAACAACATGGTATGATTAATGCTTTAAAAAGATGTGAAAACGATCAATAAGTCAAAGAAAAAATGTTAAAATTTTACTTAAAGGCAAGTTTTTTCAGTGAGCATCAGGAACTATATCAATCTCAGATTACTACGCTTTTTTGACCGAATACTTTCTTCACAAAAATACCCAAACAACACTTTATCTCCTTCCGCGAAAGATCTGTAGATAGTGTTCATTATTTCATGATATTTATCTGAATAAGACACACACACAAAATATGTAAAGATCTTTAACAGTGGCGTATTTAATCAGTGAAAGTTCCAATCTATATTTGGTTCAAATTACTACGCCTCGTATTACAATACTCTAAAGTGAGTGTGTAAGAGTTTTCTCCCCTTGTCCATCATTGCGTAGTTTCATGCTCGCGACTTATTGAACAACTGTTTGATAACTGTCCTTGATAAAGTAGGCTTCGTGTTTTCTTTGTCTCAATGGAAAGTCTCCAAGTGAAAGAGAATGTTGACTTATACTTAAGTAGTCGTCAGCAGCTGTGCCTAACGAGATTATAGATAGATTCCCAATGCGATAGCAGCTGTGCCTAACGAGCTTGTAGATAGCTTCCCAATACAGTCTGTTGATAATGGCCCGATTAGTATAATACAAGTGCTTCGTGAATATAGCATATTGAACATCAAAAATTAAAACCGTATATACATATTATTCACATTAACCAGAAACTGAATAATTATATAGGTCTTTAACCTTCGTTACAATATCGGGAGAAGGAGAGATACACAAGGGACTTGCATAAGTCCGTGATTACACGCACTGGAAATAATACAATCTCGTTTTAATTTTTTGTATAATTAATCATGATAATAATATCATAATTATTTATTTATATTATCTATATAACATTTATTTATTTATTTTTTATTTAATCGTAAACTTTCCCATAATCTTACGGAACAATTTTGGTTTGCAGGGTTGTCTGGTCAAGGTCACTGTAACTATTTTTAAAAGATCATTGTCTGCGCTATAGCAGCTTCATTCCTTGAAGGATTTCCATCGATTTGAAACACTAATTAAGGACCATAGTATCAGAAAAGTTTCAATTCAGTGTTTTAGCAATACTCTTCTTGTTATATATATTTTTATTACAAATTATGATTAAGGGATGGGCTATTATGACCCTTACTCAACAACATGTTCTTTATTATTTACTGCCACTCTGTACTGATATACCACCTCCTTTATTCCATTATTTGAATCCTTCATACGTCGGGTACATACCTTCTTCAAGGTCCTTCATGGTGTATGTTGTGCTACTTCTACCACAAGCGTAGCACTGACGGAGGTTGATGCTACCATAGTAACACAAACAGCGGGTGGGGTCAAGAGGGGACGGATCTTGAGGAGTAACCTTTTGTAAAACAAATGGAAATCAAACATTATCTAATGATGGTCAGACGAGCGTTAAAGTAGTAATAAAGATTACTTTCTTAATAGATATTTTTATACAAAATACTTCGTCAATTGAAAGAAGTTCAACATTATCAAACGTACAATAATTTCAAATTGAATTATCAATGCTTACTAAACATAGAGAATAATGCTATATGTCATCGAAAACATTCAAAAATTATAATTAAGGTTTTCTCCGCCTTTTGTACAACAATGGATGTTTTTTTTTATACTGTTTCACTAATCAGAGATATGGATGACATTCTGTAATTTATCAAAACGATTGTTTTTTGAGTGTGAACGTGAACATCCTAGGTACTCAAGGGGTTACACTCACTTACACTCTCTGCATCCGTGGAATATGTCATGACCAAACTGAAGGACTAGTTTGATCCTTTGATGTACATCAAAAGAATATCGCGGTCGCATATCATAACGGTAAAATTGACGGTTGGTCAGGTATGTTGACGTCAAAGCCAGTCACTTTTACCGTTAAGCGACGGCGAGATTCTTTTGATGCACATCAAAGGATCAAACTTGTCTTTTCGTTTCATCTACGATGTGTTGCACACTGAACCTTCGATTTTGCTAAGACATGAGTGTAGAGAGCGAACGTGAGTGTTACCCCTGAAGTATCGAGGATAACTTCTGTGTTATCTATGATGTCTTCGGACTACCGTAATGTATTTATGATTATGCTGCTATGTTTTCGATCTACACTTACCATAAAACAGTAATTACCGGACGTCAAATTGGAAAATGTCACTTCAGTCTGCAAGAGAATGATACTATCTCAATACGTTGTTGACTTTGAAGAGAAATGTGTACCGCGGAATGTAAAATAACGATTACTGTCCAGCTACGTTTATTGGAATGTACTTTTAAGATTCCATTTGAAGAGCATTGTTTAACAGTTGCGTGATAGCACAAGTGCACACTTTGCAATTTGCGCAAAAATTAGCAATTTAATTATCAAATTCCCGAAGAAAGCCGGACTGAGGCTCGTGTTATACACGTTTCTATTTCATGGGTGCAGAGACTTGGATTTTGAGGATAGTTGTGACGAAGTGAAAATAAAACTATCTCGGGGCTTTACGTATTTTCATGGTTATGAAAAGAGTTTTCAAATGGTTTTCATGGGGACAATCCTCCATAATCACAGGATCTTTACCATTTTTCTCGGACAGATTTTGTGATAGCTTCCTTGGACATTTCCCACGATAAGACTGTAGAAAACCTAGCGGTCTTCAAGTCTTTTCTATATTCTTGACATAAGCACAGTATTCTATGCCAGTAATAGCTTACCGATTGAATCCGGACGATATCAACGGCTGGTTCTTGGCTGTCACAATTGTCCGCGAGACATTCGACCACGTGAGTATTTGGACCTGCCTTAGCGGAAGTAAAGCCAATCTTCAAAACTCGCGAAGAAATCTGGCATACGAAGAAATTAGTATCCTTAGTCACGTGATTCCAGTCTACAATAAATATATAATAATTCAGTAGAGCTGAATTTATGCAAAAAATCACTTCGCAAATCAAATATGCATCATTACGATACTTATGATATATATCTTATCCTATATATATTGTGATTTATTCGGTGTTAGCCGTATACGCTGAAAATTTACTGAGGTCCCTTAGCTTCGTTTAAATCACGTAAGATTCACTATTTACTGCCTCCACCAATTCGCACTTAGTAGCTCTGCTTCGGTTCAATGGAATTGTCACTTTCATACGTCTGGAATGCGATAACTTTTATTTAGAACTAACCCACGTATCGTTTAATTAGTACAATATTTATATTTTCTGTTTGCTGTTATTTTAAAGTGAAATTAGATTTATTCAGGATTTTGGTTTGTTTGTGTTTACGTGCTAGGTTTTGGTGGTGGGGGAAGCCGGAGTTCCCGGAGAAAAACCACCGACCTACAGACAGTACCTGGCAACTGCCCCGCGTACAAAGTAGGCCTCAAACCCGCGACCCAGTGGTGGAGGGCTAGAGGTAGCAGCCCTCCTCCACATGCAGGAGAGAACGTTGATTCCATTCGTATAACAATTCAAATATGCAATTAAATTGATTTAAACCGAATTATTCATATTCATTTGGTGGGAAGTGAATAGGTAACGTATTACTCGATGAAGAGTTTAACGAAAACTATTTTAAATAGTTTTAGTTTCCTATCCAAGTTTCATTTTCGATTACTTGACTTATAGATAGAAAAATATCTCTTTTTAATAGTTTACTTACTTTTGGATTCCGTCATTAGTGGGTATATATATACATCATCGTCTTCAGTGATGCTATCTTCAATCCATGTCGTCAAGTTCAACTTCAAAATTAATTGTCATTCAATTAAATATAAACTTTATTTATTTTACAACAATAATTAAACAAGTTATTTCAACTCATATAAATCGCTCTTGTTGGCCCGGATGTTAGCGTGCGGAGGGTCGCTATGTTGGAGGAAACTGGAGTACCCGGAGAAAACCCCACGTGCTCGGGCAGGTGACCCCATACCTCACCTGTCTCACCACGTCATTCAATCAGTAATGCTCTCAAGAAGATATTTCTGTTGCAGAAGGTGTAACATCTTCAGGTAGAAAGTATGTAATTATCTATGTAATTAGTTATACAAAAACAGGTAAATAGAAATACTGAACTGCCTTCAGTTGGAATCCATAGGCAACATGAATGCCAAATGCATGAACGCAAATCTAACATAAAATTTACCTTTGTCTGGTCGGAAGTTGATTCTGTGAACTTACCGCAAATGGAAAGCTGTTGCGTTCTAATTCCTGTAACAGAAGTACCCTCCAAAGCTTTGAATTCTCAACGCAAAAGCCGTCGATCGTTGTATCTATAGAGCAAAACAAACCTGGCCATTTAAACATCACTAGTCTGGACACTGGACGACCGTGAAGTTTCCAGGGTGAGAAAGAACGGGAAACAAATGTTAAAAAGAATCAATGAGAAGTTCTTAACTTCAAATCTGTATTCGAGACCATGACTGTTTAAAGCATGATTAGATGTATTTCAAAAGAAGAAAATCTTTTAAGTAGCATATTTTCAAGATCGTTAAACTTCAAACCAAAAACGGCAACTACATGACTTTAAAATAATTATGCGAAGACACAAAATGCAAGCTCTATTTGCAAATGTATTATTTACTTCAGGAATTACATTTTGAGAAATGTTTAGGTAATACCTTATTAAGCTGACCAGCCTTTGAACAACCGGGCACAGGTAACTTCGAGGTTCCAATGTTCAAAGCTTTGTCAGCTTAACAGCGCTATACGGAAGTCTTCAATCGTATGTTAAAAGTGCTAATACTAAAATAAAACTCTTTCGAGGTTAATATTTATCACCCACAGACAGGAGACAACGGAATATTTGTAAATTTTCAGATATTTTCTAAACTTGTCTTTGTACACGATTCGTTAAGCTAATCACACTTTTGGAAAACTGTGCATCTTGAATAGCTGCATTTGAATCGTTATTTCAAACAGTGTCTGCAGCACAGCGGGAGACGTTAATTAAATTTTCTCGTCATGTTTAGAGAGCAAATTAAACAAAGTAAAGACGCTAACCGTTAAATTTGAAAGTCCAGCTGACTAAGGTTCCATGCTCCGAGTGGACTTGCTTGTACTTGAGCGGAAAATTGTCCAGGCAGAAGTAATCAGACTCGGGTAGCTTTGAGTCTTTAAATATAAAATAAAATTCATTATACATCTCTTTTATTCTGTTGTGTAAATCTTTTGCGAGTTTGTTCCTGGAACTAATTTAGGATGTATAATTCCCCCACTATACACCGATAACTGTCAACAACCGTTAGTAACTCACCAATCCGTGTCGTCTCACGTAGCATACATTTGGTATTTTCCTATATACAGGTAAGGTGTTGGATGTATGCTAGGTCACAGGAACTCCAGCCAAGATCGCCACTTGTGGCGACATTGGACGCATTTCTTCCGGTATCGAAGAAGTAGCGGCACGCTTTATTATTATTTCTCTGGTCAAGGTTGTAACATCCTTATACCATTGTTGAATAAATTGGTCATGTAAGCTTGTTTTCAATGAATGTTTCAAAAATACATGAGTTCAGCCCGAGTTACTAGTATTTTATTAATATATATAATCATTTAAAATTACAACGAAGGGTCATTTCACGTTAACTGTACATCATATTGTACACATTACTCCATTATTTATGCAGTATAATGGTACACACATATTCAAGGTAGTTTCGTTAAAATATTATTATTCCATCTATACCACATGCCTACGGTGCTATTAACCAAAAACTTTATGACGGTATATGGTACGAATTGTTTTCTTCAATTTTATCTTACGAAGTATATTCCTGTAAAGTATAGAATACATGTATGTCTCAGGAGATTAAATACTTCTTTGCATTCATTGAGACTGCAAGAAAAAGAAATGTTCCTTCAGAACAAAGATATTGTAAGGAATGTACCTCCACAGACATTAAAGATGAATTTCGCTTCTGTTAATTTGTAGTAAATTTCAAAATCTAAGAGTGCGGTTTTCCGACTATTCAGTTGGTAAGTGTCAAATATAGTAAACAGTAATGTATATTACGGAAGTTTATCTTTGAAACTATTAGAACCTCGTAGTTGATTATATTGTGTATTATGTACATCATCTCTATACATTCTCTACACATCGTGTTTTGTACCACATCATGTACCACATATAATGAGCCAATAGCCCAAGCTTTGAATAAATGTTGACAATATTGACATTTGTGATATTATGATAAGTGAAAATTATGATTATTTTTCCTATCTACAGTGTATGTCCACACAAAATCAGCTTGAGATTGAAAATTTGCAGACATAGTTATAAAATAAAGGAAATATAAAAACAACATTCAGTCAACTGTTATTGTATCAGTTGAAATTTATAGACAATTCATTACAGAATTTTAAACAATCTTTGATATTAAGATTAGTTAATGAATCTTTACTTGATCAACAATAATTTAATATTTTAATAACATTACGTTATTATTTTCAGGTTAAATAAATGTATCCATTTTTTTTTAATATTCATATTTCATCTACCTCCATGTGTCATAATAATTCTTTTCAAAGAAAATGGAATATTTCTCTGATTAAAGTAGACATAAGTTCTTAATTATAATATGTATTACAATACCATCTACATCATTTTGAAACAGACTATAACCAAATTGTGATCAGGTGTAAAAATTGAAACGTACGCTAGGTGAGACTAGGTATTTTAGAAATGTATGCTAGATGAGACTAAACTCATCAATTAGATCGAATTTCTGGTGTTTTAATCTGAATAGCCAATAGCGCTATTTATTTTCTATCACCGTTAACTGGCAGAGGTCCTAACTAACTCTCCTGTGGAATATGAAATTATACACGGTTTCTATTTTTCGTATCATTTCAGCAGAAATAGATTCGCGTATTTGCAATAGCGTCACGTGCTCTCCAATTAAGCTACAATGACCTTTTGTTTTTTTGTGCTTGCAGGTATCCCTGGCGTATTAAAAGATACGTTTTGTGCTAAAAGCATTCGTTCCTTCTGTTAAGTACACTTTGGAATCAAACTCGTCGCTCAGCATTAAATAGGTAGTCATGAAATGTACTTCTGTTATTAGTTCTTACTGTTGGGTATAGTATATAAATTACATTTCTTGTTTTACTGTTAAATATCATTATATTTTATGAGTATGGCAAAATGTTTAGAGATATTTTTCACGTGTAGAAGCAAGGATGAAAAATATCGGTATGTTCTGCCAGAAAAGTGCAAAGAATTTGTTATTTATTACAGTGAAAAGATTTTTTTTTATGTTGTTTTAATTTTTAAAGTTTTTTGTTACATCTACATCAAACATCATCTTATTATTATCATCGTACATACACATTGACAATCAACTTCATCATCATCATCATCATCATCATCATCATCATCATCATCATCTGTGCATAATGTTCTTTAATCGTGTTAATTAAGGCATGTGGGTTCAACGTTTGATGTCGACATCTTGTCTTATAAATATAAAACTTTATAATAATTAAAATTTCATTGTCAATTCTATTATATGTCATATTCTCATTTGGTACCAATAATCCAAAAAGAAAACTGATTTTATTAAATGAAAATGGGATAAAAAGTGCATCTAACAATATTTCAAAACTTTGTAAAAATCTCTGTACTTCTCTACATTCCCACAAAATATGAATGATTGTTTCTTGTTCTAAATTACAAAGTGTACAGAGTGGACTTGCCACTAACCCTACTTTAAACATGGCTGAATTTGTTGTCAAAATATGATGAACAATTCTATACTGAAACCATTGTAGTCTTGACTTTTTTGTTATTCTAAAAGGGGTCTTATATATATTATTTAAATTAAAATTATTTAAATCTAATTTTTCTTCCCATTTTCTCCTCCCAGTAGCAATAGTATCTTTTTTTTTAACATAAGATTATACAAATCTTTTATCCCTTTTACTCTTTTTAAGAAAAAATTAACATTACAGGGTATGATAGGGTATACAATAGCATCCTTTTTATAATCAATTTTAGCTAAATATTTCCTTATTGTAGTTAATACACCATGAGATTGGAGAAAATTTGTATTTACCTGATAAATTTCAGCAAATCCTTGAAATGTGTAAAAGGGCAAGTCTCAATGTCTTTCATTAATTCATAAATTATAGTCACTCCTTTATTATACCATGTCTTGAAAAATATTGATTTTCCCCCAATAGTAAAATTCCTATTGTACCATAATGGCATTTTCCAGATCCAACTTCCACAATGAGATAGCATATGTAAGTCAATATGTATTTCTAAGATAACTTGCCACTTGCCCGACTTCTGATATAATCTCCGTATCCACCCTAATTTTAAGGAATCTATGAATGACCTTATATTAACCATTTTAAGACCCCCTTCAAAATAATTTTGAAATATCACATCTCTCATTATTTTATCAGTTTTACTATTCCATAAAAAGTTAAAGAGAATATTATTTAATTGATTCAAAAAAAGATCATCAGGATTTGGCAATGCAATAAATAAATGGTTAAATTGTGATATCATTGAAGATTTTATCAGATGGATTCTACCTATAGGAGTAAGTGATCTTCTGTTCCATGTCTTGATAAGTGCTTTAAGTTTAATTAACTTTTTATCAAAATTTCATTTTGGAATTTCATGAAGATTGACAGAATATTCCTAGAAACATGAATTTTATCCTTCCCCACTGCAATTTTAGATCAGGTAAAAATGTATCTTCACTATGTATTTTGCTCCCTATCCAAACCACCTGGGTTTTGTCTATATTTAACTTCAAACCAGATATCTTAGCGAAAGTATTCAATTCTGCTATCGATTCTTTTAGAGACCTTTCTGAACCATCTAAAATGAGAGAAGTATCATCAACATACTGAGAAATAAGGATTGGACTTTTATTTACTTCTATACCCTTAATCTTATTGTTATTTCTAAGTCTTGTGCCTAATATTTCAACACACAAAATAAAAATGTAGGGGGCGATTGGATCACCTTGGCGACAGCCTCTTTTTATGTTTAGAAATGATGAAAGATTACTACCTTGGTTTATAGTTGAACTTACATTGTTGTGTAGTAGTTTTACCCAGCATTTAATATCAGAACCAAAATTAAAATAATTCAAAACTTTATCAACAAATTCCCATGAGACTGAGTCGAATGCTTTCTCAAAATCTACCATTAATAACATACCTGGAATATATCTTTCTTCTGCATATTGCATGATGTCATAAACTAATCTAGTATTTTCCCCTATATAACGGCCTGAAAGAAATCCTGTTTGATCTTCACTAATTAATTTATCTAAAACTGTTCTAATTCTACCTGCTATCGATCCGGACGCTATTTTATAGACTATATTCAATAATGTTATGGGTCGCCAAGTTTTTATGAACTGCCTAGGTTTATCTCCCTTGGGAATACATGTTATAATACCTTGTCTTTGTGTTAGTGATAGCAAACCTTTCCTATACCCACAATTTATAGATCTAACAGTGAACCCCCCTAGCTGTTTCCAGAAACACTTAAAAAAAACCCACAGTAAACCCATCAGAACCAGGACATTTGTTATTTTTCATATTTTTCAAAGTTTTTGTTGCTTCATCTAAAGTAATTAACCCTTCTTGACCAAACAATCGTTATTTTCTAATTTTGAAACATCACATGCATTCAAAAAAACTGCTAAATCTATTACAGTGAAAAGATATCCATATGGACGTACAGCGATTAAAATGTTACGTCATGAAAACAGTCGTAATCTTTAATTGGTGCCATAACCTACAGACGTCACGCTTGACAACAATCCTGCGCACCATTTTGAATGGGCTACTCATTGCAGAAAACAGTAGTAATGCGTTGAGTAGCCGATTCAAAACACGCATTACTACTGTTTTCTGCAATGAGTAGCCCATTCAAAACACGCAATACTACTGTCTTCTGCAATGAGTAGCCGATTCAAAACACGCATTACTACTGTTTTCTGCAATGAGTAGCCCATTCAAAACACACATTACTACTGTTTTCTGCAATAATTATTCTTCAGTTAGCTTGAATACAGAAATCGGCACCTAACAGAAATCGGCACCTCATAAAAGTACCGTTCTGATAGGTCAATAGACAATAACAGAAATCGGCACCTCATAAAAGTACCTTTCTGATAGGTCAATAGACAATAACAGAAATCGGCACCTCATAAAAGTACCGTTCTGATAGGTCAATAGACAATAACAGAAATCGGCACCTCATAAAAGTACCGTTCTGATAGGTCAATAGACAATAACAGAAATAGGCACCTCATAAAAGTACCGTTCTGATAGGTCAATAGACAATAACAGAAACACACCGACCTTCATATCCCACAAATAAAAGGTGTATTTTCTATGAGATCAAGATGGCGACCTTTATATAAAACTTAAATATGTGTTCATATAACATCTCAGATTGCACTCGCTTACTTCGCGAATGGATATAGGTCAACCTCGTGAGGCCCTAGTGAAATATATCAATACGCATAATGCCCTCTCGCAATCTGAGATGAACCCATATTTGAATTATTGCCAAGGATTTACGTTTAACGACAAATCATTCGTTACTTCCTCTTTATAATGGAAAGACTTTATGAGACTGATATCATTTACGTTAATTCAAGAGAAAAATAAACATCGTATTTTTATTTTTTTTTAATATATATGCATACCTGTTTAAAAATGACATATTAACACTGTCGTTCCTTAACTACGTGATCTAAAATCCTCGCAAATGAACATTCACAAATAAAAGTTATTAATTTACATATAAACACGAGCTACAAATCGACGCATAATGATTGTGAGATGAAGTTTTTCTTCATTGTACATCAAATCATATAAACAAATTTTTGACATACTCTCGGCTATTTCTAAGGAATTCGTTCACTCGAAATGATAATTTATCTGCACTATTCTTACGAAATCACAGAGTTTCATGTATAATTAAGGCAATACACAATGAGCGTAAGCAAATTACATCGAGATTACAGACGTTTCCAAAAAACAACCGATGCATGATAAACAAAATACAACAACGTAAGCGGAAACATACCGCAGACGAGACTATAAAGGGCACGTTTTGAGATAACGCTGTGATGTTGACGTTTAATCCAATACCACTCATGTGTTGTACTGTGTTTAATTTTGTCATGCAATTTCGTAAGCAATGTTTCACATCACAAAAATGTAAACACCCCATGGCGTAAGACGTGCACACATGTCTCCCAATATCGTCTATACTTCCTCGTGAATAGATGTGTCCTTTACCTAAACAAGCTTAAGTCACGCCCGGCGACGCTCAGAAGTCGCTGGGCATCTCTCGAATCATAAAATTTAATTCTTTTAAAGTCTGTACGTGTTGATAAGTTCGTGCTGTCATATTGAAGGTTGTTCATCTGCTTGTGAAGAATTAACCGAATCTTTAAAAAGTTGAAGTTTTCCTGCCTAAATCCTTTTTTCTGACGATCGATTCGTTCTATGTTACGTAAAGTAAATGATGTACCAAGCACTTCACTAAATAATTAAATAAAAGAATGGTTCTACTTTACTTTATCCGTGCACATATTTCCGAAATAAAAATCATATTATTTTCGCACTGATCAAAATCATATTACTTTCGCACTGATCAAAAGCATATTAATTTCGCACTGATCAAAATCATATTACTTTCGCACTGATCAAAATCATATTACTTTCTGATCAAAATCAATCGCACTACGTTTTGCCATGCATTTCCGTGAAATAAAATACGACAAAAATGGACGAAGTGATCCGATTACGGCCGAAGTAGGATTACGAAGTTCAAAAAGGTCAATATATCTATATGGTAGAGCGTCAGTGTGCACGGAACTTGAATTCGTTTTGAATTTATAACAAAGGGAAAGAAAGAGCACATCAAAACGAATAGAAATATATATAAAGGACCCACACAGAAAAATGTTAGTGAACCCATAATTATTATGTTGCACATGTAACTGTTGTTTTCTATCAAATCTTGGAAGGACGTCAACTTCTCATGATGTACTACACCACGAAAGTGACGTCATAAAAGTTAACACTGGGATACGTCAGTTAGAAATCATATCAACTTCACATAGAAGTTATCCGCGTAGATAACACTGTCTGTGTTTATACAGAAGCATATCCCGAATGCCCCTTTAAACCTTGGCTTTTTGTCAATAAATGGTCTCCAGTATCGTTTAAAATTAAAGTCTATCATTACAAAACTGAATTATTTCTACTTGAAAATGTGAGAATAAGTTCACAACTTCTTCGTTTACCTTTTGCATGTGTTTTCAAAGTAAAAGCAAATATTTGAACGGTAGAATGAAATGATTAGCAAATGTCATTACGATGTACCTGAATAAATTAACACTCCACTGTTTTAGGTAACTGTGGCATTCTGCCTCTTAAGGAAGTTATGTAACTTTGTAAAAAGGAAGATAACAAAACATGGACGTGTAATGATTTCGTTACCCGGAATCAACGGCATATATCGTGGTCTTTATTTAGCTGTTAGTGCATTAATAGAAGCAGGCTGTTCAGTGAAGTTGATTAGGATTAAGATTAAATCAAAAATTCATTTTTATCTTGATAAACATTTTTTTAGGTGACAGTTAATGATATATCAAATTTCATTGAGACACTTTTTAACGATACGTGATATTGTACATTTTTGCAGTTTATTTTACATGGGCGTGGATCAGTTAATTTATGATTCGAAAAACTTTGAAATAAAATTTTCAAAATGGTCTCTTCTACTATGTCACAAATAAAGCGAGCCATGTGTACGTCCCTGTGATCCATTTTGTGATATCGATTTACATTTTGTGTTTTTAAAATAACTGCATAGAAAAATGTAAACTAAATGCTGGATTTGTAGTCTGATTTAAGCAGTATTATCCAGATACAATTCTGATCGTGCCTATATTGAAAATAGTCGGGGTTATCTGTCCCTGATCCACCATGATTCGGAGATTTGTTATCTAGTCTGATGCACGAGGTGACCAGAATTACTCACAAAGGGGGAGAAACTGGGACATCAAAAGTGAGTTTTAAAGAAGAACTTACCATCAAGGATGTCGTAAGCTACACAAGAAACTTTGGGCTGAAACATAAAACAAAAATCAGTAATACAGATTCAATTGTATACGCTCTCTAACGTTCTCTAAACAGAATGTAAGTGATCAGGACTCCTGTCTAACGTTCTCTAAACAGAATGTAAGCCTGTCTAACGTTCTCTAAACATAATCTGAGTGATCAGGACTCCTGTCGAACGTTCTCTAAACAGAATGTGAGTGATCAGGACTCATGTCTAATTTTCTCGAAACAGAATCTGAGTGATCAGGACCCCTGTCTAACGTTCTCTAAACAGACTCTGAGTGGTCAGGACTCCTGTCTAACGTTCTCTAAACAGACTCTCAGTGATCAGGACTCCTGTCTAACGTTCTCTAAACATAATCGGAGTGATCAGGACTCCTGTCGAACGTTCTCTAAACAGAATCTGAGTGATCAGGACACATGTCTAACGTTCTTTATACAGACTCTGAGTGATCAGGACTCCTGTCTAATGTTCTCTAAACAGAATCTGAGTGATCAGGACACCTGTCTAACGTTCTTTAAACAGACTCTGAGTGATCAGGACTCCTGTCTAACGTTGTCTAAACAGACTCTGAGTGATCAGGACTCCTGTCTAGCGTTCTCTAAACAGAATGTGAGTGATCAGGACTCCTGTCTAACGTTCTCTAAACAGACTCTCAGTGATCAGGACTCCTGTCTAACGTTCTCTAAACAGACTCTCAGTGATCAGGACTCCTGTCTAACGTTCTCTAAACATAATCTGAGTGATCAGGACTCCTGTCGAACGTTCTCTAAACAGAATCTGAGTGATCAGGACTCCTGTCTAACGTTCTCTAAACAGAATCTGAGTGATCAGGACACATGTCTAACGTTCTTTAAACAGACTCTGAGTGATCAGGACTCCTGTCTAACGTTCTCTAAACAGAATCTGAGTGATCAGGACCCCTGTCTAACGTTCTCTAAACAGAATCTGAGTGATCAGGACTCCTGTCTAACGTTCTCTAAACAGAATCTGAGTGATCAGGACTCCTGTCTAACGTTCTCTAAACAGAATGTGAGTGATCAGGACTCCTGTCTAACGTTCTCTTAACAGAATCTGAGTGATCAGGACTCCTGTCTAACGTTCTCTAAACAGAATCTGAGTGATCAGGACTCCTGTCTAACGCTCTCTAAGCAGAATCTGAGTGATCAGGACACATGTCTAACGTTCTTTAAACAGAATCTGAGTGATCAGGACTCCTGTCTAACGTTCTCTAAACAGAATCTGAGTGATCAGGACTCATGTCTAACGTTCTCTAAACAGACTCTGAGTGATCAGGACTCCTGTCTAACGTTCTCTCAACAGACTCTGAGTGATTAGGACTCCTGTCTAACGTTCTCTAAACAGAATCTGAGTGATCAGGACTCATGTTAAACGTTCTCTAAACAGACTCTGAGTGATCAGGACTCCTGTCTAAAGTTCTCTCAACAGACTCTGAGTGATTAGGACTCCTGTCTAACGTTCTCTAAACAGAATCTGAGTGATCAGGACTCATGTCTAACGTTCTCTAAACAGAATCTGAGTGATCAGGACTTCTGTCTAACGTTCTCTAAACAGAATCTGAGTGATCAGGACTCCTGTTAAACGTTCTCTAAACAGACTCTGAGTGATCAGGACTCATGTCTAACGTTCTCTAAACAGAATGTGAGTGATCAGGACTCCTGTCTAACGTTCTTTAAACAGAATCTGAGTGATCAGGACTCCTGTCTAACGATCTCTAAACAGAATCTGAGTGATCAGGACTCCTGTCTAACGTTCTCTAAACTGAATCTGAGTGATCAGGACTCATGTCTAACGCTCTCTAAACAGAATCTGAGTGATCAGGACTCCTGTCTAACGCTCTCTTAACAGAATCTGAGTGATCAGGACTCCTGTCTAACGTTCTCTAAACAGAATCTGAGTGATCAGGACTCCTGTCTAACGCTCTCTAAACAGAATCTAAGTGATCATGACTCATTAAATTCCGAGAATGTGTAAATGAAGATGTAAGCTTTAGCTTTTCTATAAATCTAATTAGTTTCACAATTATAGTTTCAAATTCTGACATGATGTATTTTATCTTATTCATATATTTATATTCTCATTTTTATCTATTCATTGATTTTATTAAATTTCTTGAAAATTTATATATAGTTTTGTGTTTCCTATCTTTTTAGATATGGTCAGCTTTAATTATATATAGTTTTAATTACCAATTTCATTTATTCCGAGAAAAAAGATGTATCAATTGGTCACTAGGGAAGCATCTAAAGGAATTTTATAATACAGTTCATACAGTTTTTGCCAGCTTTGATCGCTGACTTATTGTCTTAATTAATTATATTTCGGTTGTATTACGTTCAACGTAAAGTCGCGATAGGGCAAAGAATAAATATAAGAATTGTCACAATTTTGAAGTATTCATTATAACCCTTTTCAAGAGAAATATTGCATACCAATCACATGTTGAGATCCATTTTACAGAAAACAACAACAACAACAACACATACTTTTCAGGTTGTTTCATCTTCAATAACGAAGGGAGAATGCTCCAAATAAAAATAACTGAGCTCTTATTCACTATTATAACTGATGCTGTGGTAATGATTACAGTAAGAATCACACACAAATTCAGATATCACAAGAACAGGGGTTTTATTTACATAGAGGAGGACATTCTCGATATCCAGGGATTACGCTCACTTTCGCTCTCTGCACCCCTTGAATATGTCATAGCAAAATTGAAGGCACGAAGATAGCTGTTTGATCATCCTCGATATTCAGGGATTACGCTCACTTTCGCTCTCTGCACCCCTGGAATATGTCATAGCAAAATTGAAGGCACGAAGAAAGGGGTTACGCTCACTTTCCCTCTTTGCACCCTTCAATTTATAGTCCAGGGGTGCAGAGAGCGAAAGTGAGCGTAACCTCTGGATATCGAAGATGAGGATGAGAGCATGGGAAGAAGACACACTCGCTATTTGAAATAGGTCTCTTTATATTCAACGACACATACACTTCAAACAAATTCCTTCACAGCTAAAGGGACATTTAGGATCATACCCAATACGATAATTCAGAATAAAAATAGTGTGAAATTTTGATATCACTAGAAAAACTGAATATAGAGCAAGCAACAGGTCTTACAACTTATCCCATGAGATAAATGGACAGAAGCGTAGACATATTCCTGGGCCCTAGGTAAATAAGCGTCATACCGATTGTCACCTGGGTCTGAAGATGACATTTTTTGTGTGTTCAGGAAGGAGGAAGGGGATAAATACTGTGTAAACAGACTCACATCTACTTGCACGTCATACAATACAAATGACCCTGTCTGTTCAATGTATGTCAATCAACAGGTACATCTTGATATTTTCGTCAGATAGTATATATTTATAATACGAGGACCAGCGTAAAACCTCGATATTGCAGTCCCTTGTTTATACACAAATACAAGCTTGGTATCATAACCGATGTTATATATAAATAATAATAACACAATAAAACCTTGATATGATACCCGATGTATATAAACAGTTAATACACAATAAAACCTTGATAAAATACCCGATGTATATATACAATAAAACCTCTACATAATGCCAATTGTATATATAGAGTAAAACCTCAATGTAACACTTGTCGTTAGTAACAGTTAAACCTCGATATAATGCCCAATGTTAATATCGAGTAAAACCTCAATGTAACACAATTCGTTAGTAACAGTAAAACCACGATATAATGCCCAATGTTAATTCACAGTTAAACCCCAATGTAACACTACTCGTTACTAACAGTAAAATCTCGATATAATGCCCATTGTTAATATACAGTAAAATGTCAATGTAACACTACTCGTTAGTAACAGTAAAACCTCGATATAATGCCCAATGTTAATATAAGTAAAACCTCAATGTAACACTACTCGTTACTAACAGTAAAAACTCGATATAATGCTCAATGGTAATATACAGTAAACAATGTAACACTATTCGTTAGTAACAGTTAAACCTCGATGTAATGCCCAATGTTAATTCACAGTAAAACTCCAATGTAACACTTGTCATTTGGAACAGTAAAACCTCGATATAATGCCAAATGTTAATACACAGTAAAACCTCAATGTAACACTACTCGTTAGTAACAGTAAAACCTCGATATAATGCCCAATATACAGTAAAACCTCAATGTAACACTACTCGTTATTAGAAACAGTAAAACCTCGATATAATGCCCAATGTTAATATAGAGTAAAACCTCAGTGTAACACTTGTCATTTTGAACAGTAAAACCTAGATATAATGCCCAATGTTCATATAGAGTAAAACCCCAATGTATCACTACTCGTTAGTAACAATAAAACCTCGATATAATGACAATGTTAATATAAGTAAAACCTCAATGTAACACTACTCGTAACTAACAGTAAAAACTCGATATAATGCTCAATGGTAATATACATTAAATGCCCATTGTTAATATAGAGTAAAACCTCAATGTAACACTTGCCATTAGTAACATGAAAACCTCGATATAATGCCCAATGTTAATATAAGTAAAACCTCAATGTATCACTACTCGTAACTAACAGTAAAAACTCGATATAATCCTCAATGGTAATATACATTAAATGCCCATTGTTAATATAGAGTAAAACCTCAATGAAACACCACTTGTTAGAAATAGTAAAACCTCGATATAATGCCCAATGTTAATACACAGTAAAACCTCAATGTAACTCTAATCGTTAGTAACAGTAAAACCTCGATATAATGCCCAATGTTAATACACAGTAAAACCTCAATGTAACACTACTCGTTATAAACAGTAAAACCTCGATGTAATGCCCATTGTTAATATAGAGTAAAACCCCAATGTAACACTTGCCATTTCAATGTAACACTTGTCATTTGGAACAGTAAAACCTCGATATAATGCCCAATGTTAATACACAGTAAAACCTCAATGTAACACTACTCGTTAGTAACAGTAAAACCTCGATATAA